CGCCAGGAACCTTGTCCTCACCGCCAGGAACCTTGTCCTCACCCCCAGGAACCTTGTCCTCACCGCCAGGAACCTTGTCCTCACCGCCAGGAACCTTGTCCTCACCGCCAGGAACCTTGTCCTCACCGCCAGGAACCTTGTCCTCACCGCCAGGAACCTTGTCCTCACCGCCAGGAACTTTGTCCTCACCGCCAGGAACCTTGTCCTCAGCGCCAGGGACCTTGTCCTCACCGCGAGGAACCTAGTCCTCACCGCGAGGAACCTTGTCCTCACCGCCAGAAACCTTGTCCTCACCTCCAGGAACCTTGTCCTCACCGCCAGGAACCTTGTCCTCACCGCCAGGAACCTTGTCCTCACCGCCAGGAACCTTGTCCTCACCGCCAGCAACCTTGTCCTCACCGCCAGGAACCTTGCCCTCACCGCCAGGAACCTTGTCCTCACCGCCAGGAACCTTGTCCTCACCGCCAGGAACCTTGTCCTCACCGCCAGGAACCTTGTCCTCACCGTCAGAAACATTGTCCTCACTGCCACGAACCTTGTCCTCACAGCCAGGAACCTTGTCCTCACCGGCAGGAACATTGTCCTCACCGCCAGTAACCTTGCCCTCACCGCCAGGAACCTTGTGCTCACCGCCAGGAACCTTGTCCTCACCGCCAGCAACCTTGTCCTCACCGCCAGGAACCTTGTCCTCACCGCCAGTAACCTTGTCCTCACCGCCAGTAACCTTGTCCTCACCGCCAGAAACCTTGTCCTCACCTTCAGGAACCCTGTCGTCACCGCCAGGAAACTTGTCGTCACCGCTACGAACCTTGTCGTCACCGCCAAGAACCTTGTTCTCACAGCCAGGAACTTTATTCTCACCTCCAGTAACCTTGTCTTTACCGCCAGGAATATTGTCCTCACCGCTAGTAACCTTGTCCTCAACGCCAGGAGCATTGTCCTCACCGCCAGTAACCTTGTCCTCACCGCATGCAACCTTGTCCTCAACGCCAGGAGCATTGTCCTCACCGCCAGTAACCTTGTCGTCACCGCATGCAACCTTGTCCTCACCGCCAGAAACCTTGTCCACACCGCTAGAAACATTGTCCTCACCGTCAGGAACCTTGTCGTCACCGCCAGGAACCTTGTCGTCACCGCCAGGAACCTTATCGTCACCGCCAGGAACCTTGCCCTCAACGCCACGAATCTTGTCCTCACCGCCAGTACACTTGTCCTCCCCAGCAGGAACATTGTCCTCACCTCCAGTAACCTTGCTCTCACCGCCAGGAACCTTGTCCTCACCGCCAGGAACCTTGTCCTCACCGCCAGGAACCTTGTCCTCACCGCCAGGAACCTTATTCTCACCGCCAGGAATCTTGTCCTCACCGTTTGAAACCTTGTCCTCACCGCCAGGAACCTTGTTCTTACCGCAAGGAACCTTGTCCTCACCGCCAGGAACCTTGTCCTCACCGCCAGGAACCTTGTCCTCACCGCCAGGAACCTTGTCCTCACCGCCAGAAACCTTGTCCTCACCGCCGGGAACCTTGTCCTCACCGCCAGGAACCTTGTCCTCACCGCCAGGAACGTTGTCCTCACTGCCTGGAACCTTGTCCTCACCGCCAGGAACCTTGTCCTCACCGCCAGGAAGCTTGTCATCACCGCCAGGAAGCTTGACTTCACCACCAGGAACCTTGTCCTCACAGGCAGGAACATTCTCCTCACCGCCAAGAACCTTGTCCTCACCGCCAGGAACCTTGTCCTCACCACCAGGAACCTTGTCCTCACGGGCAGGAACCTGGTCCTCACCGCTAGAAACATTGTCCTCACCGCTAGAAACCTTGTCCTAACCGCCAGTAACCTTGTCCTCACCACCAGGAACCTTGTCCTCACCGCCAGGAACCTTGTCCTCACCGCTAGAAACCTTGTCCTCACCGCTAGAAACCTTGTCCTCAACGCCAGGAACCTTGTCCTTACCCCCAGGAACCTTGTGCTCACCACCAGGAACCTTGTCCTCACCGCCAGGAACCTTGTCCTCACCGTCAGAAACATTTTCCTCACCGCCAGGAACCTTGTCCTCACCGCCAGGAAGCTTGTCCTCACAGCCAGGAGCCTTGTCCTCACCGCCGGGAACTTTGCCCTCACCGCCGGGAACCTTGTCCTCACCGCCAGGAACCTTGTCCTCACCGCCAGGAACCTTCTCCTCACCGCCAGCAACCTTGTCCTCACCGCCAGGAAGCTTGTGCTCACCGCCAGGAACATTCTCCTCACCGCCAAGAACCTTGTCCTCACCGCCAGGAACCTTGTCCTCGCAGCCTGAAACCTTGTCCTCACCGTCAGCAACCTTGTCCTCACAGCCAAGAACGTTGTCCTCGCCAGCAGGAACCTTGTCCTCACCATCAGCAGTCTTGTCCTCACCGCCAAGAACCTTGTCGTCACCGCCAAGAACCTTGTCGTCACCGCCAAGAACCTTGTCCTTACCGCCAGTAACCTTGTCTTCACCGCCAACAACCTTGTCCTCACACAAGAAACCTTGTCCACATCGCTAGAAACCTTGTCCTCACCGTCAGTAACCTTGTCGTCACCGCCAGGAACCTTGTCGTCACCGCCAGGAACCTTGTCGTCACCGCCAGTAACCTTGCCCTCACCGCCACGAACCTTGTCCTCACCCCCAGTACACTTGTCCTCACCGGCTGGAACATTGTCCTCACCGCCAGTAACCTTGCCCTCACCGCCAGGAACCTTGTTCGCACCACCAGGAACCTTGTCCTCCCCGCCAGGAACCTTCTCCTCACCGTTAGGAACCTTATTCTCACCGCCAGGAACGTTGTCCTCACCGTTTGAAACCTTGTCCTCACCGCCAGGAACCTTGTCCTTACCGCCAGGAACCTTGTCCTCACTGCCTGGAACCTTGTCCTTACCGCCAGGAACCTTGTCTTCACCGCCAGGAAGCTTGTCCTCACCGCCAGGAAGCTTGACCTCACCGCCAGTAACCTTGTCCTCACCACCAGGAACCTTGTCCTCACCGCCAGGAACCTTGTCCTCACCGTCAGTAACCTTGTTCTCACCGCCAGGAACCTCGATCTCACCTCCAGTAACCTTGTCCTTACCGCCAGGAATATTGTCCTCACTTCCAGTAACCTTGTCCTCACCGCCAGGAGCATTGTCCTTACCGCCAGTAACCTTGTCCTCACCGCCAGCAACCTTGTCCTCACCGCCATAAACCTTGTCCACACCGCTAGAAACCTTGTCCTGTCAGAGCCTTGCCGTCCTGCCAGGAACCTTGTCGTCACCGCCAGGAACCTTGCCGTCACTGCCAGTAACCCAGCCTCACCGCCACGAACTCTGCCCTCACCGCCAGTATACTTGTCCTCGCTGGCAGGAACATTGTCTCACTGCCAGTAACCTTGTCCTCACCGCCAGGAACCTTGTCCGCACCGCCAGGAACCTTGTCCTCACCGCCAGGAACCTTGTCCTTACCGCCAGGAACCTTGTCCTCACCACCAGTAACCTTGTCCACACCGCCAGGAACATTGTCCTCACCGCCAGTAACCTTGTCCTCACCGCTAGGAATATTGTCTTCACCGCCAGAAATATTGTCCTTACCGCCAGTAACATTGTCCTCCCCGCCAGGAACCTTGTCCTCACGGCCAGGTACCTTGCCCTCACAGGCAGAAACCTTGTCCTCAACGTCAGAAACTTTGTCCTCACCGTCAGAAAGCTTGTCCTCACCGCCAGGAACCTTGTCGTCACCGCCAGGAACCTTGTCCTCACCTCCAAGAACCTTGTCCTCACCGCCAGGATCCTTGTCCTCACCGCCAGGAACATTGGCCTCACCGGCAGGAACCTTGTCCTCGCCGCCAGGAAACCTGTCTTCACCGCCAGGAACCTTGTCCCCACCGCCAGGAACATTGTCCTCACCGCCAATAATCTTCTCCTCACCGCCAGGAACCTTGTCGTCACCGCCAGGAACCTTGTCCTCACCGCCAGGAACATTGTCCTCACCGCCAGGAACATTGTCCTCACCGCCAGTAACCTTGTCCTCACCCCCAGGAATATTGTCCTCACCGTCAGTAACATTGTCCTTACCGCCAGGAACCTTGTCCTCACCGCCAGTAACATTGTCCTCACCGCCAGTAACCTTATCCTCACCGTCTGAACCCTTGTGCTCACCGCCAGGAACCTTTTCCTTACCGCCAGCACCCTTGTCTTCACCGTCACGATCCTTGTCCTCCCGCCAAGAAACTTGTCGTCGCAGCCAGGAACCTTTTTCTCACCGCCAGGAACCTTGTCCTCAACGCCAGGAACTTTGTCCTCACCGTCAGAAACATTGTCCTCACCGCCAGGAACCTTGTCCTCACCGCCAGGAACCTTGTCCTCACCGCCAGGAGCCTTGTCCTTACCGCCAGGAACCTTGTCCTCACCGCCAGTAACCTTGTCCTCACCGCCAGGAACATTGTCCTCACCGCTAGAAACCTTGTCCTCACCGCCAGGAATATTGTCCTCACTGCCAGTAACATTGTCCTTACCGCCAGGAACCTTGTCCTCACCGCCAGTAACATTGTCCTCACCGCCAGGAACCTTGCCCTCACCGCCAGGAACCTTGTCCTCACCGCTGGAAACCTTTTCCTCACCGTCTGAACCCTTGTGCTCACAGCCAGGAACCTTTTCCTTACCGCCAGGACCCTTGTCTTCACCGTCACGATCCTTGTCTTCACCGCCAAGAAACTTGTCGTCGCCTCCAGGAACCTTTTCCTCACCGCCAAGAACCTTGACCTCACCGTCAGGAACCTTGTCCTCTCCACCAAGAACCTTGTCCTCACCTCCAGTAACCTTGTTCTCACCGCCTGGAACATTGTCCTCACCGTCAGTAACCTTGTCCTCACCGCCAGGAACATTGTCCTCACCGCCAGTAACCTTGTCCCCATCGCCAGGAACATTGTCCTCACCGCCAGTAACATTGTCGTCACCGCCAGGAACCTGGTCCTCACCGACAGGAACCTTGTCCTCACCGTCAGGCACCTTGTCCTCTCCGCCAACAACCTTGTTCTTTCCGCCAAGAACCTTGTCCTCATCGCCAGGAACTTTGTGCTCACCGCCAGGAACCTTGTCCTCACCGCCTTGAACCTTGTCGTCACTGCCAGGGACCTTGTCCTCACCGCCAGAAACCTTGTCCTCACCGCCAGGAACATTGTCCTCATCGCCAATAACCTTGACCTCACCGCCAGGAACCTTGTGCTCACCGCTAGAAACCTTGTCCTCACCGTCTGAAACCTTTTCCTCACCGCAAAAACCTTGTCCTGACCCCCAGGAACCTTGTCCTCACCGCCAGGATACTTGTCCTCACCGCCAGGAACCTTGTCCTCACCGCCATGAACCTAGTCCTCGCGGCCAGGAACCTTGTCCTCACCACCAAGAACCTTGCCCTCTCCGCCAGGAACCTTGTCCTCACCGCTAGAAACCTTGTCAACACCGTCTGAAACCTTGTCCTCACCGCCAGGAACATTTTCCTTAACGCCAGGAACCTTGTCTTCACCGTTACGATCCTTGTTCTCACCGTCTGAATCCTTTTCCTCACCGCCAAGAACCTTGTCCTGACCGCCAGGAACCTTGTCCTCACCGCCAGGATCCTTGTCCTCACCGCCAGGAACCTTGTGCTCACCGCCTGGAACCTTCTCCTCGCCGCCAGGAACCTTGTTCTCAGCACCAGGAACCTTGTCCTTTCCGCCAGGAACCTTGTCCTCACCGCTAGAAACCTTGACCTCACCGTCTGAAACCTTGTCCTCACCGCCAGGAGCCTTGTCCTTACCGCCAGGAACCTTGTCCTCACCGCCAGGCCCCTTTTTCTCACATCCCGTAACCTTGTTCTCACCGCCAGGAACCTTGTTCCAACCGCCAGGAATCTTGTTCCCACCGCCAGGAACATTGTGCTGACCGCCAATAACCTTGACCTCACCGCCAGGAACCTTGTCCTCACCACCAGGAACCTTGTCCTTACCGGTAGAAACCTTGTCCTCACCGTCTGAAACCTTGTCCTCACCGCCAGGAACCTTGTCCTCACCGCTAGAAACCTTGTCCTCACCGTCCGAACCCTTGTCCTCACCGCCAGGAACCTTTTCCTTACCGCCAGAAACCTTGTCTTCACCGTCACGATCTTTGTCCTCACCGCCAAGAAACTTTTCGTCGCCGCCAGGAACCTTTTCCTCACAGCCAAGAACCTTGTCGTCACTGCCAAGAACCTTGTCCTCACCGCGAGGAACCTTGTCCTCACCGTCAGGAACCTTGTCCTCACCGCCAAGAACCTTGTCCTCACCGCCAGGAACCTTGTCCTCACCGCCAGGAACCTTGTCCTCACCGCCAGGAACCTTGTCCTCACCGCCAGGAACCTTGTCCTCACCGCCAGGAACCTTGTGCTCACCGCCAGGAACCTTGTCCTCACCGCCAGGAACCTTGTCCTCACCGCCAGGAACCTTGTCCTCACCGCCAGGAACCTTGTCCTCACCGCCAGTAACCTTGTCCTCACCGCCAGTAACCTTGTCCTCACCGCCAGTAATCTTGCCCTCACCGCCAGGAACTTTGTCCTCACCGCCAGGAACCTTGTCCTCACCGCCAGGAACCTTGTCCTCACCGCCAGGAACCTTGTCCTCACCGCCAGGAACCTTGTCCTCACCGCCAGGAACCTTGTCCTCACCGCCAGGAACGTTGTCCTCACCGCCAGGAACCTTGTCCTCACCGCCAGGAACCTTGTCCTCACCGCCAGGAACCTTGTCCTCACCGCCAGGAACCTTGTCCTCACCGCCAGTAACCTTGTCCTCACCGCCAGGAACCTTGCCCTCACCGCCAGGAACATTGTCCTCACCGTCAAAAACATTGTCCTCACCACCAGGAACCTCGTTGTCACCGCCAGGAACCTTGTCCTCACCGACAGGAACCTTGTCCTCACCGCCTGGAACCTTGTCGTCACCGCCAGGAAGCTTATCCTCACCTCCGGGAACCTTGTCCCCACCGCCAGGAACCTTGTCCTCACTGCCAGGATCCTTCTCCTCACCTCCAGGAACCTTGTCCTCACCGCCAGGAAGCTTGTCCTCACCGCCGGGAACCTTGTCCTCACCGCCATGAACCTTATCCTCACCGGCAGGAACATTGTCCTCACCGCCAGTAACCTTGCCCACACCGCCAGGAACCTTATGCTCACCGCCAGGAACCTTGTCTCACCGCCAGGAACATTGTCCTCACCGTCAAAAACATTGTCCTGACCGCCAAGAACCTCGTCCTCACCGCCAGGAACCTTGTCCTCACCGCCAAGAACCTTGTCCTCACCGCCAGGAACCTTGTCGTCACCGCCAGGAAGCTTATCCTCACCGCCGGGGACCTTGTCCTCACCGCCGGGAACCTTGTCCTCACCGCCGGGAACCTTGTCCTCACCGCCAGGAACCTTGTCCTCACCGCCAGGAACCTTGTCCTCACCGCCAGAAACCTTGTCCTCACCGCCAGGAACATTGTCCTCACCGCCAGGAACCTTGTCCTCACCGCCAGGAACCTTGTCCTCACCGCCAGGAACCTTGTCCTCACCGCCAGGAACATTGTCCTCACCGCCAGTAACATTGTCCTCACCTGCAGCAACCTTGTCCTCACCGCCAGGAACCTTGTGTTCACCGCTAGAAACCTTGTCCTCACGGTCTGAAACCTTGTTTTCACCGCCAGGAATCTTGTTCTCACCGCCAGGAACCTTGTCCTTACCGCCAGGAAGCTTGTCCTCACCGCCAGGAACCTTGTCCTCACCGCCAGGAACATTGTCCTCACCGCCAGTAACATACATACATACATACATACATACATACATCCACTTTATTTAAAACTCTTTCTTATCACAAGCTATTCGCATCATATTACGACACAAAAATTTCAAAAATAAATATCTCGGCGAGTTTTTACCCCCCCTTGTAAATAAAAGCCACCATTGTAATCCTCATAAAATAACCTTTCGAACGGGGGGTCAAGTGCCGTCAGAACATTACACAAACCGAAACAATCATATGTTTACTCACCGCTTGGCCAAAGATTCTAAATTTCATATTCACAAGATCTTGAATACCCCTTGAATTTTTCGACATTTGCTGAACGGCTATATGTGTAAAATACTCTTTGTATTGAAGCGCTTTCGTGTAGAAAGTTTCGTATGTATACGCCGACTAGAAATATTTATTTTGAATTTTTCAAGATGTCGGGTTTTACTCGCACTTGCGTACATTGCGCAATAATTGGCCAATAAGAAGCTCCTTTGGCCGGGATGACGTCAAACTCACGCGTGTAGGTGCAATTTGACCTTGCGAATCCATTTCTGGCCTTTGCAGGGTCATACTGTGGTCATACGATACAAACGTCGCATTGTTTTGACGGTTTTAAGACGTATTTCCGGTTGGGATTATTCACTTCGAGCTCACAGTCGGACAAGAAATGGAAATATATTGATAAAAGATACAGATTTGTAGATTCAGGGTTGCAAATAACACTCCAAAAACACTATTTAATGGGGATTCGAACAAGACTATTACAAAGACGATATGTTCGATGGGGCCGAAGTTATTTTCGGCGAAATGTATGGCTAGTCTATAATAATCTGTATTTTTGTTCAGACAATTGCGTAATTTGATACAATATGATCGTTTTGACTTTCAAAGGCCCATAAATCGTTACAATACTAATAATGACTATAACTATCGTTTGGAACTAGTTGATATTTTATTTGTGAATCGAATGGTGGTATTTCTGTCTTCATAGCATGCACTGAACCGAAAGTATGAAATTTCGAGCCTGTCGACCGCTCGCGGTCGACGAAATTGGACCCTGTTGAGAAAGAGTTAAAGGACAATGGCAATAAATTTTTTTATTCTCGATATCTATTAACCATACCTACGGAATACTTAATTTCTTATTTTCACTTGTCTATCGCGTTTAGTTGTTCAGAAATATCATAAAACTTCCGACTGTCCTCCTCCATCTTGAAAAAAACACCGTATGCTAATTTATGCGAGAATAAATTTGTGACATCAAGAGCAGGGGAAACAAATATTTTCAATATAAAATAGTATGCGTGCGAACACATTCTATGAAGATTTTGACCAAAAAAGTGCAGATAAACTCCAAATCTTTTTGTATAACTGCGTAAAAATGTAGCACCATTACTCTACTATGTGTTTCAACTGTGTTTTTCAAATAAACGCATTGACTTCGGAGTTAAAAGCTCTTTGATTATTACAACTGGTACTATAAACTGTATTTGCCGTTCTCTGCGATTACGGCTATGACACTGAATGTTTATTTAGCTGCTAATCTATCAACACGGCATCAACAGGAACAATAGCGCATTAAATACTATTAATGACCGAGTACAATATGTTTTGACTCTTTGGCTTTGCAATTCATTCGCGTTTAAACACTATGCAATCATAGTAGGCCACACATAGTCATAGCATTAGCATCAGTTCTACGGACTTCCCAGGTTTTTAAACACAGTGAAAAGCTCAGGCTATACACAGACGACCACATTGGTTCTGTGCGGCAGCACTCTCGAAATATGTATTGTCCAGTTTACGGTTGTAATAGCGATAGCCAGAAAACTACAAGTCCACCAACGCATTTCTTTTCCTTTCCGTCTGGAAAATCGGCGGATCAGCAGTACAGGCGAAAAAGCGTGGGTAGAATTTTGTAAACGAAAGGCGTTTCAACCATCGTCGTGCACTAGGATATGCTCTCTGCATTTTGCAGAGGACGCATATGAACCCAGGAAGTTTGCCGCAGTTTCTTAAACGCTTACAGTTCAAAGAAAAATTTATAGCGCGCTTGAAAATGGATGCATTGCCATCATTAAATAAGACATTAGAAAATCCAAGCACAACAACTAGTGGCAAGAGAAGGGATTCCACTGTGAAAAGACAACGAATAAAGGTATGATTTTGTGAAAAATTAATGTTTGGAAAAGTACATAATGTCAATGTCAATAATAGCTGCAATGGACATAGTCGCTTAAATAAAACAAAAGTTATTCTGAATAAGGAGTGCATAATATTAACACACAATTTGTAAAAAACTGTATATTTCGAATCTAAATCAGATTCATCTTCAGCAGTGTTTTGCAAGATATGTCGTTATATTACAAGCGTGAGAAATTTTAAACAAGCTAGCATGCGCAAAAGTCGCTTAAATACATGTTTATATCATAATTTAAAGGATGCTGTTCAGCTTCTAAATCCTGAAGACGAAGTGAGTCATGAGGAATGTTCTAGTGGAGAAAGCAGTGTCAGCGAAGTCGAAGCCGAATGTGAACCTCAACCATTGGACGTTCACCTTATCGAACAGGAAGACAAAACGCAAATAGCCACCAACACATCCGAATCATCTCCAAGCACGTTTCTTCAAACCAAATATACCCAGACAAAAGCATCCAAACCAACAACAAGATCGGTAAAAACACAAACTCACATCGACGCAACATCAAGTTACTTTCATGAAATGAAGCAAGCATTTCGCACGTCAGAATCGTCATTGGCATTGACGTTGGAAAATGAAATTGGAAAGGGGGAAACATCTACTGTTGCGGAAACAAGCGGAATACAACAAAGTTAATTCGAAGTTGACAAAGTGAACAGTGCCAGTGAAGAGTCAGTAGAACAGGAATTTCAATACTCACCAACCGAGGCAACAACTACCGAAAGCGAGGACACTTCCGAAGAAGTTGACTTGAAAACACGAGTTCTATTACAACAGGGGAAACCCCCGCAAGAGCAGATAAAGTTTGTCGTTTTCGAAGACACAGTTTTGGAAGCTTTTGATACATGCAGTCTGTGTGGTTCAAAATGCACGGTCACAGTGGAGAGCCAGCGAGGGTCATCATGTAAAATCACCAGCTGCTGTACACGCGGAAGCAAACGCCATTTGGAGTGGATGACCGGTCCCACGGTAAATGGCATGCCCATATTTCACTTGCTTTTGGCATCAGGAGTTCTTGCTACTGGTATGGAATGTTCTAAAGTGTTACGGTTGTTTGCTGCCCTAAAGATCCCAAACGTAAAACAACGGGAGTTATCAAATATTTTCAAATATTACGCCATCCCCACAGTGTACAACGTTTGGCAAAAAGAGCAATTGTCAAGGCTGAATGAAATCGATGGAAAATCTGTTGTTGTGGCATCTGATATGCGTGTCGACAGCCCTGGGCACAGTGGCCTTTTTGGTTCGGGCAGCACAATGGACATGGATAGAAACACCATCCTGGATACACAAGTAATCAAGCTATAACGGGACCTAAAGTCCAGGGTTGCAGATTGCTGAATAAATAAGCCAAACATTGTTATAAACGGCCCCTTCAAACAAAGAAAACAAAGGTTATGATAATAATATTTGGCTTATTTATTCAGCAATCTGGCAAGTGGCAAGCATGACCTAAACTATCAAGTCAACAGATAACTTGCATGTTAGACTAACTTTTGATCTGAGCAAAAAAAGTAAATTCCCATGTTTATCCTAACCCACCCTGTGAACTTTCCCTATGGGAGGAAACCGGGGTGTCCGGTGAAAACCCCATGACTTTTGGCAGAGAGTAAACTGACTCTTCACATGGGCCCGCAACGAGAATCGAACCCACGTTCTCAGAGGTGAAATCTGCTTGCTCTGACTTTCGCATGATATTAAAATTATCCCTTAGCAATAACATTGACCTAGGTCTGGATAATTCTTGATAGATATCATGCTCAGCCTCATCCAATAATTGTTAAATTATCTATGTGGGCTATATGAATTATTAAGTTACTAATATTATTAATAATTAATGAATACAATTTAGAATTTAGTTTTTGCAAAGCTTAGAGTCTGATTGTTGGATTTATGTTCAATGTCTCAACAGTCCACAGAGGTGAAAAACTCGAATGCAATGGAGCTGGAGTCCTTAAAAAGACAAATGAAATATTTAGAAGATAACAATGTTTGTGTGACAAAGCTGGTGACAGATCGCCATATACAGGTTTCTGCATACATGGCCAATGAGAAACCAGATGTTGAACATTCATACAATGTCTGGCATTTGGCAAAAGGTATGATTGTTTTCACTATTTAGGATTAATAACTTTTTTCTGTGCTGGTGTTGTGTACTCAGGTGAATATGATGTTTGTGATGTTACTCTGAGTGTATATCCACACCGAGCGAACTTGAAAAATATGCCTGTGTGGATATACACGCAGAGTAACATCACAAACATAAGATTAATAATTTGTTTCACACAGTGCAGAATGACTTTTTCTCTCAAATCGTGGATATTGTATTATCTGGCATGCTCCCCCCCCCTTGCTGGACCCAACCTTCCCAAGCGGACCCAACTTTCCCAGAGGGGGCCCCGGAATGCTGGAATTGCGGAATGTGTTAAATATTAAGGAATATTCTGAAAAATTGAGGGTGAAAAAGGTCTGAAAAAGTATTTTTAACACACCATTATCGCAAAATGTTTGGAAAATTTTTTTGGGACGTTTTATTTTCACAAAAACCATCAACCCCGACCCTGTATTGGTCTCAAATCTCAATCACCATGCTGCCCATATGTTTAAGTGGCATTGTTTAATTCACAATAACCAATCAATAACTTATATTTAAAGGAGAAAAGAAGAAATTGACAAAGCTTGTCAAAAAAAGAAAATTCAAATCAATTAAACCATGGATTGGCGTGAGTAATTCATGTTTATGTGTATAGGATGCAAGTGAAAAAAATATATGCTATAGTGTCAATTCTGTTGCATTAATTTTGTGTTTCTTTTTGTCTACTTGACAGTCAATTATTAATCATATCTACTGGATTGGGGACTCAAGTACGACTGATGACGAACGGGAGGAGAAATGGCGCAGCCTTCTCAACCATATTGTTGACATTCACAAACATGATGGGAATACATTGTTTGTTGAATGTCTTCATGGCACACTAGAAAGAGAATGGCTTAAACAAGGTTTGCTAATTTTCATTTTAACCCATAGAGCCGCAATGCACCCCAGTGTGCCCTACTATCATTTTTTACTTGTGTAATGCGAGACAACTCCACTCAATGGGGAAGCTCTGCAGCTTAATGGATTAACCCATTAAGCGCCAGCGCTCTCCTCCCTGGCCTTGGTGAGTACAATAGTCTGGCATTAGACAGAGTAAAAAATGAAGTAGGTCGCATCAGGGCACAATGCAACTCAATGGGTTAATCAACCATCAAATCAAATATGCACCCGTCATCCCCTATGTACCCTACATTACTTCCTTACCCTTTATACGTGTTATAGGATCTGCAGCTTACAAAAAGTTAACTGAGATGCTAACAAGGCCTCGGCTGATTACAGCAATTCGAAAGCTATCCAACTATCATCAGACATCTGGTTTGGAGGCCAAGCATGCAGTGGACAATCAGCTTGCTTCAAAAAACACTTATCACTCGTACCAGTGAAAAGGTGTTTTAGTGTGACTTTATGTACATAATAATTCATATAATTATACATTTTAATAGATTATACTGTGCAAATCTGCATTACAATGAGAACAGCAATAGAAAGCAAGCAACAACAGCAGATGGCAATCTTCGATGGGCAATTGCTTATCCAAAAGCATTTAAAGGGGAAAAAGCAGTTGCCAAACCATTAAAAGAGAAGCCCACTTATGGCAAGAAATAATTTACTTGTCAATATGAAAAATACAATGAAGTTTGTTCCTAGTAACATCAACTTTCATCCAATAAACACCAAGTTTGAAACACTGAACAAATGTTTAATTAGCCTTTCTCACTGCCAATTTTTCCACCATTTTTCGGGTACTGCCTCTCCCACATTTAAGAGTCTCCGCACCACAAAATAGTAAATTTATCGTTACAACTTTTAAAAGTTGTTTCACAAGGGCAGATAATACTGCCAAATGGCGAATTTTGTCATAGTGACAAAGGCAAACGCCTCACGGTCAATTGCAATTGACTGTATGTATTTGAAAATTCATTTTTGCAGGATATGTGGATTTGATATTGAAAGAAACTGTTCAACTTAGAAGTACAACACAATAAAGAAAGCTAAGTCCATGTCAATAAAGTGCTACCTGTTGAACCAAAATCACTTGTTGAGCAGTATCTAGAAGGGAAGGAACGTCCATCAAAGGAGCAAGTGGTGGCCAGTCGAAAGTGTCGGTTCAGCAAACCAGCTTTACCTACAAATAGAGAGAGTGAATCAACTAAGAAGCCATGTGCTTGTAAAGGAAAATGTGCCACCAAAAAATGTGACTGTAGGGGTAGGGACTTAATGTGTGACACAAAATGTAATTGTAAGGTGGGAAAATGTAAAAATTGTGAGTGAGGTAGACTTGATGTTTTTGTGATGTACTGTAAATATGACAGAACAAGTTTGTTTATAAATTAAATTCATTTTCCAAATAACATTATATACACCACTGCACTTTTAATATTGGGTCATAGGACAATTGCAAATTATAATAACATCTGTTGTGGGAAATTGGGGATTGCATGCACATTAATTTAAAAGGTGATTACATGGAGCATGATCTTCAACCTTGGGTTTTGACTCAGCTTTGTTTTAATACTAGATTGTATAAATGGCTGCCATGGCAGCCCTCTTCAACAACAAGGTTAAAATTTCAGACTGAGTACCCGAGGGCTAGTTTATTCATGTAATTGAAAAAATTCCAACGCTGTCAACAGTAAACGAGTATATCCCCAAGGCTGAAAAATATGCTTCAAGTACTGTATGAATTAATCGGCACATACTAGAGTTTTATAAGTCTTATAATAAAGAGATAGATTTGGCCAAATTTGAATAAATAAACATTCAAACAATCTCAAAGCATTTGGAAAGCCTACACTTGTCTGTATTTTAACAATACAAAAAAGCTTACCGTATCGATTTTTTTTCGTATTTAAAATGAGTATAAATGCAGTGGTCATGCGACGCAAGTTTTTGTGTAAACACTCGAATTCTTGTGTAAACACACCGTAAGAAGTGACCTTCTGTTCATATTCCCCAAAATCTGAAATACCCAACACGAACATCGTTGTTTAATATGCTACTAGTCTATAAAGTTTGTGTATCTTGTCCAAATAGTCGTCATCCAGAGGCCAGTTATCTTCAAGATAGTGACAAATGTCTATTTTTAATACCGCTTCTGACAGCATGTTTGCTTTGAATTATTCTGCATGTGTTGTCAAGTACTTCTTCCCTGGTGTTTCAGCTTCCTTCAACAATGCATCATACTCATTGTATTCAACAAAGCAATTAAATAGCCTTTGGCTTCAATGTGCAATGCCCACATTTGCACCAGCTCAGGCTTTCATATCTTTGAGGCCGAAAATGGTTAGCGCCTTGGTCGATTTCCTCGTCAGACGATTCACTCTGTTCTTTGGAATCGCTCTTGTCACCGCTATTGCTTGTTTGTAAGCCCGGTTCAGGTTCAAATTGATAGGGTAATACCTCATCTACTTGATTATCGTGGATATTTTCCATCTGGATAATCAAAAAGCGCCAAATTCCTCACTAGAAGTACGAAATCTCGATAAGCGCGCCCAATAAAATATATTTGTTGTTTTGTCTTCTACCGTCTGACGTCACACAAGTCATGTGACCCAAAAGATAATTTTTTTGAAAATCGATCCAAGATGGCGGACGTACTGAATATTTACGTTGAAATAACTCGAGAACAAAACAGTTTGGATGAAAACTAATAGCATATTCGTAATCAGGGGGTCCAATTTTCCTAATATCGAGAATAAAAAAATTTATTGCCATTGTCCTTTAAACCGAAGATGTACTTAAGATTTTTACTGTTGCAAATCTCACTGCGAAAAAGCACTGGATGTTGCGTAGGAAAATCAAACATTTTTTGCACGAACGGGTAAAGAGAGGTCACGTCGTAATAACGTACTTTTCGTTTTTTCAAATCTCCTGCACGATCGTAGTAAAGTAAAGTATAGCTGGTGAGGTTCGACCTCCAAAAAGTGCGTCGCAAGGGTTTAAATTTAAATGCTGAAAAAATTCGCCAAGACTTATTCTCTTAATTTGATCCGCGGTTATTTGACTTTCTTTTCGATAATCGCATTCCCATTTTTCAATAACCGTATACCCATGCTGTCGAAATAACACAGTCATACGTCGTGTGCGTGCACGTAAAATAAAAAATCGTTCATGAACAAGTTGGTTGTATGCGTCACTGTCTTAGCATTTCTTACACCCGTGATAGAAACACCCGTGAAACTGATAGATTGTTCGGGTTTCGTCACAGTATCCGTCAACAAAATGGTCCAAAATTTTTGTTTCCCCACTCACAGAAAGTTTACTATTAAGTCGACGATTATTCTCATGTAACTCATTCTCGATTTCATGCAACCAACATAGCGCGATAGCGCTTTGATTTATATTCGCACCCCCATAACCACATGTCGGTATTTGACCAATTGTGGCTTCTTTCAAAAAATTACTACGGTATATCTTAAGTGCTAACCCTGCTATGGTGTGACATGTCCGATCGTAAAAGGGTAGTATACCCGTAACCTTGTATATTAAACGTGCAAATATAATACACCCCTGTCTTAAAAAATCAAAATCTAAGCGGCAATAATAAATAGATGGCTTCACGAAAGACATATGTCTTGCCAATTTGTTGCTCGTACCACCGGTCAAACACTTCACGTTCCTTACTACCCTCTGCCGGTGGATCAAAATACTCCAAACCAATCATGAGACCGATATAATTTAAATTGGTAAACAGATACGGATGAAAACCCTTTGTTAAATCCTTAATACCCAACGCTTTGGGAAATGCACTTAAACGCATGCTAAGAAACAAATAATTGTTGATTACTTTTAAATTACGTTCTTCTAATTCCATACAAATTATTTTACTACCGTTCATGATAACCTTTGGCACAATTTTGCGTTCAACCAGTAATTCATGCATTAAGAAAAATATCAAATCGACCCCCCGTTGTGTGCCACTCAGACACTACCCTTGGGTTCACCCATCATAAAATCCATTAAATCCTTTACGATATCGTCATTATTATTCTCGAAAACATATTGTCGGTAGCCACAGCAGGCTACCGGTTCAATGGAAATGTCACAGCGGGGTTGAGAAGGATGCGGTAAAAAATGTTCATATGATTTTACAAATGGTTTCTCATCACATAACGTACACACTTTCTGAATCACACAATAAAATGGTATCATAGAGTGATCGTCGTCAACGTATGTTTCAAAATTGTAAAAATACAATGTCGGATGCACAGTGTTTTGCTGTGGTTTGACAGGTTTAATAAAACAATAATGCCCCTTTTTTTTCATCTTATCACAATGCAAACAGAATATCTCGTCACATTTATGTTTTACCCTTTTCACGCTGTTAATCGATGTTTTTCGGAGTACTATTTTATAACATGTGGCGCAAAAAAAGAACCGCTGGCAAGCTGTTTCCATTCTACCGTTGACGGTTTTAAAAGATCTATGTGTTAAGTGGTTCGAAAAACATGTGCGACTATAAAACACCACATCGCATTCGGTACATTGTTGCTCGAAATCCAACTCTTTTGGACATTTAGTAGACGACGAATAACAACGCAAACATGTTAGCGATGTCCGACACACATGAGACATTTTTGTTTCGGCACGTCGAAAATAACGCATACATTGAAAACAAAATTTACCCAAATTACAATGTGAAAATGTGTACGGTGATAGCACAAGATCATAGTGTGCGTCATTTAACCATAAAAAGATAACATTGTGCATAATTCGATGGAGGTGTTGATTGGCATCTAGCCGTGAATCGTAAACAATCGTATCCGATTTCGCTTTGGAAAAAACAACTAAATCAACACCGTCGGGTTTCAAATAATTTTCATAAACCACCCGCAATTGGCCCACACGAACTTGTCCGACGGGTATACCACTGGTCGTATATACATTTGTTATGTTGTCATCAATATACAGTTCAGTTAATGTCAGATTTCGATTTTGTTCTAATTTTTTGGCTATCGTATCGTTTTCCAAATAAGATTTACCCACTAATAGCGCTAATGCTAGACAGCTGTTCTTCACACTACCTTTACCAATTTGAAAAACACCATGATGCACTTCGCGACCATGTTTTATTGCCACGTCATTTTTTTTCTGCTACCCGCTTCAGCATTGGCTTTTCCAAAATATTTATACAAACTGGGTGCTTTTTTCGTGTTCTTTTGCTTTGACGTGGTGTGTAAGAATTCGGAAAAATATACAAGCTAACATTTGTGCGCCAACCATTATTTATTATCTCCTGTGTGTTACTTTGCATGTGACGTTCGAAAATATTGAAAAACATATCCGTCGTGAAATCGGTTATGTTTAAAACGGCCGTTGAAAAGGGTGTGTGTGGTGCATTCGAAATATAGAATCTTGCTTTTGAGGTATCCGATGCCGCATAATATTTCATAGTGTTAATTAGATATTCAAATACTTTACATAGATTTATTAAAAATTCAGGTAATGTACACATATTTTCACTACCCACATTTACATCGAATATATATTCATTATAGCCAAAACGTCGGTGGGTACATATTTGTCTAACTGAAAATGTTGTACGTGGCACGTCCATATTGCTATTTTGTTTCACTAATCTAGCTAATTCACAAATATCTCTGTCTTCAATTCTATAACTAATATTCGATTGTTGACAACGACGAGCAGTATTATTTTTCACCATATCAGCCAACTTTGACAATTTTTTTTTCCGATTATTTTCCCCCACCATTTTTGCTAATTCTTGAATATTTTTTTCCCTTTGTTCGTTATTTAAATTTTCAGAAAGTTTTCTCAACAAATCAACTGTTTTCTTGTCTACGACGGCGGAACGATCATTTCCTTTCCTTTTTTCCCCCATCGGCACAACCATGATAAACAACAACAAATACAATCCTTGGTTTTCTTTTCTTCTTCAACGGCGGTACCCAAATCTGTAAAATCCTTATCAAGATGATCACTATTTTTAACGTTTACAAAATTCCATTTAAATGTTATCCACGGTGTATCGCTGTCCTTAAAACACTTTGCACCCATTTTCAATTTGTCTCTGCTACCGATAAGACTCAGAAATAAAATGAGCGACCAGTCAATACACGTCTCAATATACGTAAAAAATGCTGAAGCTACAGGGGAACATGATAAATTAAAAATTGCCTATGAAATCGAGGATAATGATGTTTAATATTCACACCTACTATATTCCTTGAAGCACTTCACAGTTTTGCCAAAGATCACGATATAATATATGGCGTAACTTTAGACCAGCTTCGTCAAAGGTTCGAAGCATTTCAGATGTCATCGGTTGTTCCACCACATATACATTCTAAAATTGAAAGACTAATTAACTATGTTGAAAAACATCTGGACATCTACGCAGGTATTGGTGTGGTATACAGAGTATAATCATGAGTTCTTTTGTACGTAATTTTCTCGATAAATATGTAGACAATGTAAACTATAGACGACGGATGCAAATACCGTCACAAAGTATTTGAAAATCCAAACAATGTATTGCAGAAACACTATATCAAAAAATGGTTTCATTTAGCCAAACAGGATAATCTACGTATTAAACCCTCAAATATTATGAACGGTGGCAAGGGGTTGTATAGTTGGGAAAAAGCAATACCGCGCAGTGCGGTAATTTCAAAATACACCAGTAGAAAACGCACAAAACAACAAATTGATAAAAAATATGGTGAGGCTGTTGCAAAATATGCACTATGCAACGCAAGAGGTCGTTGTGTTGACGCCAATCATGCAACTGATGCCGCGGCGAGATTTGCAAACGACGCAAGAAATACACCATTTAAAAATAACAGTATTATACAAGGAAATACAAGATTTCGATTAAAAGCTTCAAAACGCATAACACCGCATCAAGAAATTTTCACATCATACGGTGCCGATTATTGGATTTAAATAACATTGACAGTTGGTAATTAAGGTTATAAGTTATGCATCCGGCGTTGTAGTATGGTGTACGGTTACGATAGACGAATAAACCCAGGTATTAATCCCAGCGCTGGTAGATCCTATGCGGGTAGGATACGTAAAAGACAAAGGGGTGGTATGGCTACAGTCCGAGTATTAAAGGTCCGAGTATTAAAGATCTATTAATAAATGCTGCAGCCGGGGTGTTGAACAAGCAGAAGAAATGTGTTAACAGAGCCGCAAAAAACGAAAACAAAATGTTACAAAACCGTGGGTTGACTTGGGCAAAGAAAGTGGTGCCATCAAGCAAAAAGGTTCTAGACTTCGTAAACCTAGAAATCATATTCCTGTAGTTTATCGATATCATCAATAAAAAATTACAAACCTTATTTTGTGTTACATATTTCTTTGTTCTCCACCACGTAATTTTACTTCACCGATGTATCTTTCAAAAGAGTAATGACGTGAATATTCACCGATGCGTATTTGTTTCTTTTGATCGATAACGTATTATTTTAATAAAACCACGTATTAATACATGTTGCATGTTGTTCGTTACTAAAACACACTGAAATTCACTACTAAACACACGCATATATATACCCGCATATTTATTTTTGGACGTTTATACGTGAATAAATACAATTTGCAAATATTCATTTTATATTCATTTTATTATTAAAAAAATTTGCTACGAAAAAATCATTTATACTTCTTAAATTTAGTACTACGCCACGATAAAAACCTGTTCACTGCTGTCATTCTTTGTGGACTAACTACTCATCGTTCTCTGTTCTCCTTTTATACCCCAAACTATAGTTGATCATATATGGTCAACCTATTTTTCTAAATATTAATTAATAATCTATATTTAAATTTACAAATTCTTCTTGCACCCCACAAATAGCTATAAGGAAAATCCGATTTGTCAGTCTCGATACAACGTCAACGCCTTCGTATAGGGTTTCAAATAATGCGCTTCACAAGTTGTTGTTGGACCGCCAAAAACAAATGGTGTGTTAGACGATTTTGTTGCATCCCATGTCAAACCGTGTCGTTCCCCAATCACATAGATTTTCATCAGTACCAATATTGTAGGTTTCATACTGGGTAACAACACATCTATAAAAACATTATTGCCAACGAACATTCGTTGAACAACACTTTTGGCTAAACGTTTATTAAATTGTAGAACGCCGATAGTCTTGACCCATTTTTGTTTCTTTTCATCTGCTACGGGGTAGGACAAATATTGATAGTAGGAAAGATCGCTTTCAAAAAGATATTTTACCAAAAGTGCGTTTAACTTCGGTTCACCAACAAACGTTTCAAAATAGAAGGTTTTCGTAAAACCGTCATAATAATTTTTAAAAGTACCATCAGCTTGGTTTTTGCTAACGTGATTCATACTAACACAGCGATACAGCCTTGTCGAAATATTTGGTATAGAACTCGTTTACCTTTTACAGACTGATAAACAAATTTTTGCTTGCTCTCCTTTAAGCGAATCATCCTATAAACATTGTGTAATTTTTCCAGTAGAAATTTCGGTGTCCTTATATGGGCAAACCCAAATATTTCACCCGTAGAATATTGTAATATGAATGTGTTACCACCGGAAATATGCTTGTCACACAACTCTCGCAAATTAAACTGGTCCATCTACGCGAGCAACCGTAATATAAGTGTTCATAAACTCTTGCACTATATCACATATATCTACCCTTTGTTCATCCGTTAAACTATAAAACACTTTATCTCTTAATACATCAAAATCTGCATCCAATACATACTAAAAAATGGGAATACCCTCATCGTTGAGTCAATCTTTTGCAATCTCCGTATGCTGTGGATACGGATGATGTGCTACACTCTGATCTAACAATACTAAAAAATCAAACAAATACTTATGGCAACTTTTACAAACTAATATGTGCTAAATATGCTTTAATTGTAGACCCCTTAAACATTAATTGCATATGTTTACCCTCTGCAATAGGTAATTTATGATAGGCTAAAACTGGTTCATACCGTCCCACAGCGTACAACATTTGAGCAGCATTCAAAAAGCTGTAGTGTTGAAGCTTCAGCGCTAAATTTCGACTACCAATCTGTAACGGTAGATCAGCGAATATTTCAACCATAACATCTGTTGTACTTTCACGACATGGGCCGCAACCGACATGAAAATATGTCTCATCGACCATATAATTCGGTTCCAAACACAACGACTGACATCGTACCATTTGTGTTGATGTGCGCAAAAGTACTTCGCGACAACAAAATGCAAAGGGCATCAGAACAAACTGGTGGTCGCGAACCACTATATAGGGAATCCATTGCACGGGAATAATATACATTGTTTTTGTGTCAACTAAACTGTCTGCGAGAGTTACATCTTGGATGTCCAGTGCATACAATGTTGCAAGTGCCGTAGTCGGATTCGTTACTTCACGCTTGGTTACAAATACTTGTTGCTTTTGTTTTCTCACTCACTATTTCCCTCTCTACTTTGTGTTCAACTGTATTATCGATTGCGATAATATCGCAAATATCCGAAAACGAGCCGGACAACCAATGCTTCTTTTCAACATAATAGTCTCTAATGCATATTTCTCGATGTCCAACCGATTTTGGCTTGCAAGCGTAAAGATAGCGACAAGTACTGTACAAGTTCCACAAAACAGGATTGTAGGGTTGTCGCATCAATAGATACGATAAACCACTTACAAGATCTCTTTCACTTAATCCGCGACCATGTCGTTCTACATACGATTTAATATCTATCAGCCATCTTTACAACTTTCTGTCTTACGGGTGTAATCAAACGTTTTATACGCATGATATCAACTCTTCTAAAAATTGTGTAAACACCTTAACCTCGTGCCTCGAACAGTGATAATTTTGGGCAATATGATACGGGCAACATTCCTGTTGATAACCATATTTGGTTAATAGGTATATTAACCAAACATATTTTGGACATGTTAAAACTTCCAGATTAATACACCGCACACCCATATTATTTAATAAATTACGTTCAATATCGCCGCCTTTGTATGCTACTAAATCAGCATTGCTTGTAAATTCCTTTGTTAGAAATGTCATAGCTTCTTCTAATGTAAAAAAATCGTTTGTCAGTCTCTCTTTTACCATGGGCAGACCGTGTATATTTTAATTTGATACCGAATGGAATACTGTTTTTCATTGAACGGTACAAACGGCATAAAAATTTGAAACGAAGAACATTCGTGCGTTTTTACACGATACACAGATATCTCGCGTAGAAATATTTTCTTCGCAGAATTTGAATACGCTTCACAATCAATCACATGTGTAATCCGAGACGCCATTATTTTTCTATTCGCATTCACAGCATTCATCTCATTGATTACGTTTTCGTTGAAATAATTTCTCCAACTTCTCCATGTTACTCAAACAAATAAGCAAACATAAATGAAAAAACAAACTTTATTCTTACACTTTTAAAACATCAAATATATCCTCAATATATAATTTAAAAAAATGTATATGCACATTTTTACAACTACAATAACGATCACGGGTAAGCCATGTACTACAGTTACAATTGTCATTAAACCATTGTAAATTCTTACACATTTTTTTATGATTTCTAATATATATAATTATATAATCGTCTGATAATAAAACACGAAATTCACTAGCAATATTTTGTCAAATCTCGTTTACACTTTTTTTCCCATTCACTAAACTTGATATATGAGTATGAATTATTCTCGGTAATTCACAATAACTATAACCACATAATGGGGTTGGTGGTGCTAAAGAATACTGACACCAATGTTTTATTTGTACCCATAGTTGAAAAACAAACACCCTCTTCTACTAGAGTAGGCAAATATTTCATATCAACACACACATACACATGTATACACGCGTCCAATAAACCACGCAATGTAACCACATACATATAACCATAAGTTACATTTAAAACATTTGTGATATACATCCACATTTCAACATCCTCATACAAAAAAATATACGCGTTCAAAATGATTAATTTCCTCCTCATATAATGTTTTATAGCAAAACGTCTATGTTTTAAATACCTATGCAATTCCAAACCCTTGCATGTTCGTGGAGGTAAAAAACACCTCATTACTACTGATAAGTTTAGCGTCTATAAATTAAATTGTATTAAATTTTTTAATTTCTTCTACACCACACTTGTTACAATAACAAATATTGTGATACAGCCCGTCGAAGTCAGGTACACAATTACACTTTGATACCATGTAGTCGCGCACAATTCTCACCAAACGTTGATTGTACAATAATACTTGCAGCAACCGTGTTGATAACCAGATACCTTTTTTAGTGTTTAAATCGTGAATCAAGTTCGTCAAATGCGAAATACTTTCAAAATAATTCACGCCTACAAAATTGATGATATCTTGAACTGTTCATTTAATAAAAGCGACCACCTCCTGACGTGTCAAATTATCTTGTTGCACGTATTCCAACTTAAAATCTTTATATGCGATAAATGATACAAATGGCAAATAGATCAATGAGCTTGGTGATGCAAAATGTTCAGGATATATCCGAAAAACAATTTCGATTTCGGCATAAATCCCTAGCAGCAAATGTGCGATTCCCACAGTTATTGTTTGTTGACCTTCATTGTCCACTTCAATGTCTACAAGGTAAACATAAAACTTGGCATTTTTGTTATGTGACCCTCCACATATAGTGTTGGCCATGTTCGTCCACCTCGCATTTCTACGGCGTGATCTCTTCCAAAACATAAATAAAATTCGAAAAAATCATAATCCTTTGCAATCGTACTTAAAACAGCTAATCTTCCGAATAACTCTCAAAGGGCATTTGTACATCAATAAACTTTAAACCTTCTGTCAATTCATCCCACAATTCTAGTCGTGCCATGATCCTACAATCATCTGTTTTCCCTCCAAATAACACAACGCTAATCTATTCGGGTCAATTAAATCCTTCTGAACTTGTATCAAACTCGTTGACACCAATACACTGGTTTTCTCTAAAATTTCCAACGCAATCAGTCGATTATCTTTTTTTAAATCCTTGCATGCCATATGAAAGCTAAAGGAAAACATCCAATCTGCTGCACGTGTGTCAAACATGTTATTTGGAAATACGATTGTATAACCACCCTACGGATAATACTTAACATATGCTGTATATAAATCACAACGCTGATTATGTAATGTCCACAGCTTAAACAAATATCCCCTGTCGTTATCATCATACGTTAAAATATATCGAACATTAGGGTACATACAACCCTTGTTAAAAAAATTTATCTTTTTTGGACAAGTATACGCACCAAATAAATCAGTACAAATACTTTTTAACATATCATCAAATTTATAACCCTCTATGAAAGCATTTAATGTAGTCATACCTATTCAAAATCCTGAACACTATAAACCGCCAACAACTCTTTTAAGGGTTCAGCAAAATATAATCAACTAAAATAAAATAAAAACAGCAACAGCAAGCCTAACAAAACTTTCCAAATAAATTTCATATCTTGTAAAAAGATTACCGCAGACAATTTAGCAATACTTGTGCAAGCATTGTGATATAAATAACAACCCAAATAACATAGCATAACCATATATAGATAAATGCTATTTTGCCAAATAACCTATATAACCATATATGGTTAACACATCAAAACCCACACATAACCCTATATGGACAAGGTATTTATGTTGCCATAAACACACATAAACATTAATGTTGCCATAAACACACATCGTGCAAAATATTTGCTGCTTTAACCATATATGGTTATCCTAGACCTACAACATACCCGTTTCAGACATATTCCTTCATTGTCAAACTAAAACTCAAAGGCGACAAGATCGAAAAAATCATGAATAGCGAGTTTTTCCAATTTCTCGAGTTATGTGGAATCGAAATAAGCGAGACGTCAGACGTGGCGACGCTAATCTCGGAATACAACAATTTCAACAAATACCATAGTGCAAATCCCAAGCAAACATTTGAACACAATTTTATTAAATGGCAAAATCAACAACGTGGGCCATATGAAAAACCACAGTCTATAGAACCACAACCGAGAACTCTACAACCTGACCACGTTACAACGCCAATAAAACTTCAAACGTTAAAGGAGTCAACACCATACATCGGCGACTTTTTATCCTATACTTTTGTACCGTCGCCAAAACCACAACAACAGCAGGCTGCTGTTGCCAACGGAATCTCCAACCAAAACCGCCAGTGATAATTTAGTTACCAACTATTTGTCATCCGAAATTGTGTCATCCGAAATCGAACTATTGGACTGCAATATGCCTTGCATAAACGATTTTATACCAGCAACAACAACCACGCCACAACCAACTACCGGTAAAAATATTGCCATGGCCAAGCATATTCACGATGAAGAGGAGCAGCAGCAGCAGCAACCTTTAAAATCGGGAACAAAACGAAAGCACCTTGAAGTTCCACCACGGTAATCCGGTCGGCCCACCACAATTGATACACTAATAATAATCGACGGTGATGACAACGACCAAGCAGCATTTCAACTGCAGAAGCGTGAACTGATTTTATATGGTTCGTCAGAAAGTGGGGGGGGGGGAATCTAAATCCATTCTCACAAAATGCAAGTCCAATATCACTGTGAACACCCAAAAACAGTACCTAACCTACGAACTGTTCGCAGGCATGAGGCGTAAGGCACTTGAAACAATCAAGGAACAACGCGACATCTTGCAGAAAATTAACGCTGCCGAATTCGTACTCACAGGTTTGCTGAAAAAACAATAAAAACAATCGTAGTTAGAACACAAAATGTAAATACATTAAAATTTCTTAATAAAACATTTTTAAACTTTCAAATGTGTACGGGTTTATAACTGAACATTTTTTGAAACCCGAGAATCATGGGAAAACATACAAGAATAAACATACTCCGAAGAATAACATCTTGTAAACTCAAGATATGAGCTATAACACAAGACAACAATTTTGCGGTGATATTTCGACTCTATTTCAAAGTCATTGTCAAACCAGAATAAGCTATTTACAAACTTGCTATCATATTATATACAAAGAAACAGGAAGAGATGACGTATTAGAAACATTACACTATTGACATACAATGATACTAAATTAAGAAAAGACCACGAGTTCTTTAGACGCTCTTAATCCGTTATTAAGCACGGGCTTTCTGTATTTAATATACAGAGCTTCAAGGAATAGGAGAAGGTTGGAATTTGTGTGCTTAAGAGTGTGAAGAGTTTGAGTGTTAGTCTGGATGAGATTGTGAAAAGAGAGCGGTGTGTCTAGTTTGACTGTGTCACTGTTATTTATGTCATTAAGGTTGTCAAACATGTGGTTCAAATTAAGGATGAAATTAGCATGTTCACATTCCGACAGATGTTTTGAAATCGAACTTTTTTGTGGATCTGAGTGTTCCGATAATCAAGTAGCCAAATTTCTTTCTGTTTTGCCTATGTAGGAACTGTTGCAACCAGGACAAGTAAATTCATAAACAATATTGCTACACGAAGAATTAGGAATTTTGTCTTTTTTAGGCAAGAAATATGATATCTTCTTAGTGTCATAAATTACGACAAATTTGACCGGCTGTATGAGATTCCGCTGTATTTTCTTAAGAAGCTTTTTAACCAAAAATTCTCCCTGCTTCCCCAAGAAAGGTATTCTTATCCAAATTTTAAGTCTGGTATCATCAGAAAAATCATTTTGAGATGGTAGTCATTGGTGTTGTGTTTGCTACAATCCGCGCTAGAGTTGACTTCATGCTTGGCCTTTAGTTTGCGAATAATTGAAAACCGCACATTGGCAGGAAAGCCATTCCAAGACTTAAATTTGGAAATCATAGAGATTTGTTTGTTGATAAAAGTCAAGTTACTACATATATGATGATGATGGCGGAAAGACGCTTCTCTAGATTGTCTACCATTTTAGTCGTATTTTTATCTCTATTTTTGCTCGTGGAGTCTTTTAAACCTTGTCGAAGGTTAGTTAAAGGTGCCTCCTGTCTAATGTGTGCACTTAAACTGGATATCAAGCAGTTTCCAACAAGAAATACGCCTGGTCTACCGAGACATTCTCCTTCCACTACTAAAGCCAGCCTGCCACCATCTTGTAAATTGAAAGTTAGTTTACATTTGCTGAAATTATCTATGGTTGCTTCCTCGTTAGTTCTTTTATCTGGCGATGTGAATTTAAATCCTGGTCCTTATGTAGATGATCTGCCAAAAGCTCGTGGCTTCAAAGTGGCTCACCTGAATGTACGAAGCTTGGTAAACAAACTGGACGACATTAGTCATCTCGTAAGAAGTAAATCGTTCGATATTTTTTCAGTTTCTGAGACTTGGCTCAATCCCACTATATTGGATACTGAAATTGACATTCCTGGCTATACGTTAGTAAGACATGACCGCAATGGCAAACGAGGTGGTGGAACAGCGATTTTTGTTCGAGATGGCATTCCCTATAGACACCTAACGGACTTGTTTGACGGGGTAAACGAAGCTTGCTGGATTGAAATAAACCGTGCTAAATGTAAAAAGTTAATCGTTTGTTGTGTGTATAGACCGCCAGATTATTGCTGTGACTCTTTGATTGACTATTTTAACACATCTCTTTCAAAATTGCCTGCTGAAACTGAAGTTGTAATTCTGGGAGATTTTAATGCCGATTTCTCAGCCGAGAAGAATACTGCCGCGTATAAAGCGAAGCAGAAGTTACAAAGATTTGCAAACCTGAATGATTTTGAACAATTGATCAAAACTCCCACTAGAATTTGTAACCAGACGAGAACTCTGATTGATTTAGTTTTTGTCAATAATAGTCATCGTGTTGTTGAAAGCGGAGTCATTCACTCGGCAATTAGCGACCACTCTATTGTTTATTGCACTATAAAATCTGGTGTTCCCAAAGCTCCTCCAAAAACAATTGAATATCGCTCTTACCGCACATTTGACAAGAACTCTTTTATTCAAGATCTTAAGTCAATTGACTGGGATATAATAGACGAAATTCAAGATCTAGATGCTGCTGTCGAAACATCGAATACACTCTTTTCTGATGTTGCTGATAAACATGCACCTATTAAAAGGAGCCGCATCAAAGGAACCAAAACACCCTGGTTGACGGCTAAACTTAAAGACGCGATGCGAGATCGTGATTACCATCATAGAAAGGCTATTAAAAGTAACTCTGAATTTCACTGGAACATGTACAAAAAATTAAAATGCCTTGTTACCAAACAAGTTAAGAAGAGTAAAGCCGATTATTATCTCGAATTAATTAACAGAAACAAAAGCAATTCTAGTGGACTATGGAAAATACTCAATGAAATTACATGACGTAAATCCACATCGCCAGTCACTTGTATTGAAGCGGACGGCGTAACCTACACGGACTCACAATCCATTGCTGAAGTCCTGAATGATTATTTTTCTTCTATTGGATCGAAACTCGCTGCTAAGATAACTCCTGGTCTAAATTACATCTGGAAAAACCCTTCTTTGACTGTTGATGCTAATCCTGTTAGTGGTTTCAACTTCCAACCTGTAGAAGAAGCGTTTGTCCGTACAGAATTAAATCGGCTAAAGACCAACAAAGCCATAGGACTTGACAAGATTAGCGCGCGTCTTCTAAAGGACTCTGCCTCATTAATAGCACCAGTTTTAACAAAGTTGTTCAATAGGTCATTGGAGTCGTCGAAATTCCCGTCGATCTGGAAATTTGGTAAAGTCACTGCTCTATTTAAATCTGGAGACAGATGCGATTCTGGAAATTATAGACCGATCACTATTCTACCCACGGTCAGCAAAGTCTTAGAGAAGGTTGTACATCACCAAGTTTACAAATACCTTGTGGATGAAAAGATTCTATCGCCAGTGCAATTTGGTTTCAGACCAAATCTATCAACCGAAGTCGCTTTGATACATTTTACTGACTCGATTCTTGATAATATGGACAAAGGCGCTGTCACTGGAGCAGTCTTTTTGGACCTATCAAAGGCCTTCGACACGGTGAACCATTCTATACTATTTTCAAAATTATCGAAGGCTGGATTTACTGATGCCACTATAACATGGTTCAAATCATACCTATATCAGAGAATACAGGTAACAAGAGTGGATAATGCTACCTCTTCTGCAAAGTATGTCTCAGTTGGAGTTCCACAAGGGAGTGTCCTTGGACCACTCCTATTTATCCTTTACGTGAACGACTTGCCGTCTTGTATTAAGAAGTGTAAAGTGACTATGTATGCAGATGACACGGTTCTTTATTTCTCTTCCTCTACGTTGTCGGAACTTGAGGAAAATTTGAATGCTGACCTTGAAATCCTTCGCAGATATTTAAATGACAATCCTTTAACTTTGAACGCTGAGAAAAGCAAATTTGTAATCTTCGGCAGCACGCGTAAACTCAATTCATTCCGTGAGTTTTCATTAGAGATCAACGCACATAACTTGGAACGTAGAGACACCTTCAAATACCTTGGCATTAAACTTAATCAAATTAGATATGTCTTGGTCGGACCAGATTGATGCCCTTAGCAAAAAAGTCAGCCAACGACTTGGAGTTCTGCGTCGTGTTAAGTATTTGCTGCCTCTACATGGTCGTTTGGCGATATATAACAGTCTCATTTTACCGTTATTTGATTATGCAGATATTGTATGGGGGGACAAGAACAATAATGTCCTAATGCATAATCTCCAGGTTTTGCAAAATAACGCAGCAAGAACTATACTGGATTATCCCAAATACTTTTCCGGTACCGAAGCCCTCGCACAGCTAAACTGGATGCCTCTATCAGAACGTCGACGCCAACATCGTTGTATTGGTATTTATAAATGTATAAATAAGTATATAAAATATCAATTCAACCTAGTTCAAAACGTTGAAATTCACTCCCACAACACTCGCCGCCGTCAGGATTTACATCTTCCACGCTCGCGTACTAACTGGGGAAAACAACGCTATATATATCAAGCAGTCGTTGATTGGAATAACCTTAATTTAGACCAAAGACAATCGAACAATTTGACTTCTTTTAAGAACTCTATATAAGAACTCTATATTAATTTAGACCAAAGACAATTGAACAATTTGACTTCTTTTAAGAACTCTATATACGATTTTAGCTGATATAATTTTAAACATACTTTTTATATATGCTATTATAATGTAGTTTTATTTGTATTTTAATTGATATCGTAGGACCTGCCTGAAAATCACCTTGTTGTGAGTGTAGCTTCCTACTGAAATGTTGTAATAATTACCGGTAGCGGTACTAAAGTTCAGAAAGATAAGCGCTTTAAGCCATGGAAACCAGCCCACCCAACAACCAAGTGAACATACCAAGCGAGTGATGTTAACAGAAGCACTGAGGGTCGTGTTAATGATGATCATGAAGAATCATGTTTACACCTTCGACAAGGAAATCAGAAAGCAAATGAGGGGTGGTCCGATTGGTCTTAAACTGACAGGAGTATTAACACAGGTCTTCATGATATGGTGGGATAGTGAATTCGCCAACAAGTTAGATAACCTTGGAATAGTGCAGAAGATGAACGAGAGGTACACAGCCAAAAACGCCACAGACTTGTTGCAAGTTGTCAACTTTACCGGCTTGTTGCAACTTGTCAACAAGTTGCAACAAGCTTGTTAATTTCATCAAGTTGCAACAAGCTTGTTAAAATCAGGCTTGTTGCAACCTGTCATTTACAGACTTGTTGCAACTTGTTGAAACAACTTGCAGCAAGCCTGTGGATAACAAGTCTTAACAAGCCTGTTAGAGCAATTTGCGACAAGCTTGTTGAATCAACAATGCTGTTGCAAGTTGTTAAAACAGACTTGTTGCGAGTTGATATTATCAAGCCAGCATCAAGTTGTTGGAACAACTTGTAACAAGCTTGTTGATGACAATATTTAGCAAGTTTGTTAGAACAACTTGCAACAGCATTGTTGATTCAACAAGCTTGTCGCAAGTTGTTCTTAACAGATTTGTTGCAAGCTGATATTTTCAAGCCTGCGTCAAGTTGTTGGAACAACCTTGATGCAAATTGCGGCCTCATGATCAAGCTGATTTAAACTTGGGACGTTACAAACGTTTTATTGTAATTATTATGAACAATCGACTATTCGAAAAACATACGTGCGTTTAAGCAAACGTATTAGCTTTGGTATTAGTTGTAATCCGCGAAAATTCATTAAGCGCTTGGCCGTCTTCGTCTTCGCACTGACACAGATGAAGTATATACCAGATGCGTAACTTAATAGGACTTCTAATCTGATTTCTGTTGATTTCTAAACGGATTTCTGTTGATTTATAATGCGATTTCTTGATTTCTAACATAATTTCTAACTTGATTTCCTGATTTCTAACCCGATTTCCTGATTTCCGTGAGTTACCGCTGTCATATAAGACTGTAGGCTCAATAATATCGAAGTTTTAGTGATTTCTGATTTCAAAATTCACTAATTTCTCTTGTGATTTCTTGATTTCGGGTTTGATTTCAGTTGATTTCTGAGTCGAGTGTACGAGATTTCAGTCGTGTCGGACCCCTCGACTTAATCTATGGCACTGATGAAGATCCGGGCTTACGGATCGAAAGCTTTGCAGTAATAAATTTACGTGGGTTTAACAACTTGCAGCAAGTCTGTTAAAATCAGGCTTGTTGCAACTTGACATTTGCAGACTTGCTGCAAGTTAATAACAAATCCATTTGACTTGTTCACAGCTATACCATAGATTAAGTAAGAATACATATATATACTTAATCTGTGGCTATATATACTTATATATATACTTAATATAGATTATAGAATATATACTTAATCTGTGGCTATACAGACTTTGTTTATTGTTTGGCTAATTCGGCCGTGAAAATCAGTTTCCTCAATCATTATCGCTCTATACATGAATATTTAACAATGGATATGTTTGTATTTTAAATCAAAAGGATTATTTTGCAGTCAGCAGTCTATACAGCTATTTCGGATGAATAAAATTAGATGAGTTGAAATCGACAGCTGTAGAAAAATTCTCGCAAGTCGCAAATGAAATAATTAAAAATTTTATAAAAATGAAAATTTAGGAACAACTTGCTGACGTGTGCTATCGCTATAGGTCTTTAATCTGATTGGATAAAGGCGTATGCACGCGTCATCATTGCTCGTTGCAAATGGACGAAATATTACAAACATCAATCACGTAATCATGTTCAGTTGTTTAACTTGTTTTTGTCTTTATAGTTTGTCAGTTTACTTTTTGATTCAAACAAAATTTAAACAACTGCGAAGTGCGAACTAAAATAGTAAAATCAAACACGTTCACAAGGAAACGAAGAAAGCTCAAAGCTGGTTTGATCTTGAAGAAAGTGGCAATGAGAATGGGCTATTACATTAAAAAACCAAACCCCCCCTGTCGAGGACCTCTGCTTTTGGGGATTTTACCCCTCTGGAATGCAAAAAAATCTGTGTAATTGACCCCTCTGGAAGAGACTTGAACCCCCTCTGGAAGTGCATTTTTGCTTTTTAACCCCTCTGGAAAGAGCATTTTTCTTCCATTTTTCCCAATTACCCCTCTGGAAAAAATTACTAATTTCCCCCTTGGAAAATGAGGTCCTCGACAGGGGGGTACGGGCATTAAATGTAATAGCCCAATACAACATCTAGTCCTAGACCTAGAGCTTAAGAAATGAAAAATACATAAACAACCGAGTCTTCATCGTTGATATGAATGTGAAATTCGTTACACAATTTCTTTCCAATTTCAAGTGAAAAATCTGTGAACGAGGAAGACGCTTTTTTGAATCTTTGTGTATGTATTATTTTGAAGAAAAATATGCAAGTAAGTTGTCTTATTTCGGTCGCACTTAAATACCTTTTAATTTTGAAAATAAGAACCTTTTAATTTTTACAATAAGAACCTTTCTTTGTCGTATTTTCCGGCTGTTTTGCTCAAAAATTATCTCGCACGTTCGTCAGTATTATGGTCAGTATATAAAAGTCTTATACAACCGAAATATGGCAACCTGTTTGGCCGTTTTTTGTTCAAAATAGTGCATACACGAAGCTTCATAAGGCCAAAGAGTAAAGATATAAAAAGGGTTCACTCGGTGAAAAATGCAGTGTTTAGGACGTCACACAGACAAAGATTAGATACTATAAAGATGTGTCACTCTGCGAAAATTATGTCCAAGATTTTTTTATAGCCGCCATTTTGTCAGTAAGTGTCAAATTCAACGCCATCAGTCTCTTAAATAGTAAAATCCCACGCCATCAGTCTCGCCGCCATTTTGGCAGTAAGTGAAAATTACGGACACGCAAACATTAGGGAAATACGTCGAGTGACACATCTTTATAGTAGTGAGCTTAAGCAAGTGACGTTTTTGACAACACGGACGTCGACCGGAAGTAAAGTTGACGTTTTTCACCAATCACAGCCCTTGACCCAGTCTTCTGACGTTACTCATGCCGTTCGTGTTGTCAAAAACGTCACTTGCTTAAACTCACTATTATCTAATCTTTGACACAGATTTGCGGAGCTGACGCCATTTACACGCCATCAAAAGCAAATTAAATATTTCAAAAAAATTTAATATGCCGCAGCCAGTACCGTCGCTGCGTTTTCAGTCAAAACTATAGGGAAAACGCAGTTCGAAATGCAAAAAGCAGACACTCCAAGGTGGATGTGTTCAAATGAGTGAGATTGAGCGACTGCACCTACTGGGGTAGAGCACTCCCCCCACGCAAGCGCCCCCGCAGATATTTGTATCTCTGTAGCAGCATTTCTTGCATTTTGAATGCATGTGTGACTCATTTTAACCTCAATTTCAACATTGTATTTTGCTATTTTTAATATATTTTTTTAATATCAACGAAATATTAATTAAACGTACCAGTGAACTATTTAAGTATCACTTGTTTACTTGTTTTTTGACATATGTGACTTGTTGAACTGCCAAGTAACTTTCTTGGAGTTCTTTACTACTTCATCTGTTGGCTTGTACTCAAAACATGGGGCAGTGGAATTCATTTTTATGGTCATGATAGCACTAAGGGTTCTGTTTATGTCCAGGTTTCCTCTGAAGCATGTTTTGTTCTTTCTGACAAGACTAAATGCTCTTTCCTCCTCTGCATTGCTATGGGGCAGTACTAACACCAACTGAGCTACTTTACTAAGATGCTGAATAACTTTCAAATTCCCTAAATGACCCCATATAACATCCATACGAAGGCTGTAAAGGGCTTCATCAAGTCGTAAAGTGGCAGCCTCTTTAACTTGCTTAGGTAGGTCAGTGTCATTCATCATCTGATAATCAATAAACTCATCATACAGGATTTCATGTTGTCTTGCATTAAAGTTGAAGATATGTTGATACCTAAAATGAGATATATTTGTTTAGCCAAAGTTTACACCTTGTACATGTCAGTTTCACCAAACTTTCATAGCTCTCAACTCTGTGAACGTTCTGCTGGCACCATATATTACTGTACATCAATGTACCTTAACATTATTCGATATTTGACTTATTGGTAATTGAAGTAGAGACTTACCTTTGCGCAAAATATGCGACTTGTTCAAAACTGCCAGAGACTCTCTTCTCCCAGTTGACAAATTGTGCATTCTTCAATGTTTCATCACCTAATGGAAGATTTTTCAACATATACAGCTTGGCTGCTGCAATATAAAATTGGCGTACAGCAGTGTAGAACTTTTTAGCTTGTTGGTCAGAAATGTCACCATCTGCAAGACACTTGTTAAGTTGCATTCTTGTTGTAATGCCGACAAAAAGATCTTTATCACTTCTCTGGTTTTCTAAGACACACATTAAATCACCTGTGGTGTCCTTTAAGCATGCTTCCAATTTGTCAACCTTAAGCAACTTGCCGAGGATCTTTTTATAAATACTCCAACAGCCTTCATAGACCAGGAAAATACATGGATCCGACCTCTGCAACAGTTGGTTAAAACACGTAAAACTGGGTAGCACAGCTTGGTAGAAATACAGGTAAATTTCTGTCATTGGGTCTTGGAATAACTTTTTCAATCTCTTGAATCTTGCTTGCTGCTCTGCATTCGACAAAAAGTAGGATTTGAGAGGGCTGTACTGCTTCAAAACACGCTCCACTGCAGATTCCAAGCTAAGCCATCTTGTGCTTACATGTTTAATGACCTGTCTGTATTGAACATCACAAAAGTCACAGAAGTCCGATAGAAGGTTCTTTCTCTTAGAAGAGTGTTCAAACCAGTAGAAAATGTCAACACACAAATCATCAGCAGAGAAGTTCACTATCTCTTCAAATGCCTTACCTCCATAAAAAGCTGTGTTGTGTAAAATATGACAAGGGCAACCCATGAAATACACTGTATCATTAGCATCCTCTACCCTTGTTTTTATGGAGTTGTGCCTTCCAACGTTCACAGATGTATTGTCTACAGACATTCCAACACAGTAATCCCAAGGTATATCATGTTTATTTAGAACTTCATTCATCTTGTCATAAATGGCTTGAGCAGTGGATGCAGTTGCTGAACACATATCCAGAAATCGACCTTCTACTTTGTGAGTGTTAATGTCAAATAAACGTACAGTAAGTGGATTCATCTTCTCCAAATCATTGTCACTTGCTCCATCAATTGCCAAAGAAAATGGCCCATTCTTCATCTGTGATACCAGTTCTTGCTGCATTGGTGGAGCTATGGCATCATTAATTATACAATTTGTCTTTGTGTGAGCTGAAGCATAGTTCTTTGCAATAGTACTATCAGGAAACATCTGCTGAATAGTGGACCCAAGTGGTCAGACACACTGATGGGTAAGTTATGTTCTACAATAAACTTAGCTGCCAAAACTTCTGCCTTTGATGTATTAAACAGCAAAGTGTTTGTGCTACTGGTAGCTAAATTTAATATAGGTTGATTTCTTAAGCTCCTCCATGAGGACCCGCACGCCTATAAATTGAATTATCTTGAAGGTGTTGGTCACCACAGCATTATTAGTCGAGGTGGTAAGAGTGGTGACATATATAATGAATTTATAGTGAATAATTTATGCGCGCATGAAATTTAACCCCATACAGATATGATGTAGCAAATAACTAACTGAGCTAACATACAAACCAGGTTGTCATCACCAATTTATAATAATGTTAGCAGACAATGCCGCGCAAAGTTCAAATTGCGCCAAAATCTGGTCTGAAGAAAGAGTGCATTCTGCTTGACAATCGTGTGTATGGATTCAGTATGGAGATCAAGATCGAACAAACTGGCAATATTTTGATGGGTGCTTATTAACGATTGATGCGTAATCAGTTGGGTATAATAGTCAAAAAGCTGTAGGTATCGCACCACTTAATCAGTTATTATTTGCTTTAGAATACAGTATGTTAGATACGCCGGATACCACGGCTTTCAAGCAGGGCTATCACAACCGCGAGTTGATTGTAATATATTCATTATAATATACTCACTTCTATATTTTGTTACATGGCAGCACAAGACAAATAATATTTATTTACATATATATATATATGGCTGGTATAATAAAAGAACCTTATATTATATTCATTTGTTCTTCGCATGACAGCGCAGTGCGGAATACAAAATAACTATAAGCGTATACATATTATCTGAGTAATTATGAGTATTTATATATATAGTGGAAACTTGTGCGTCAGAAAGATGTCCCATCGTTTGCTAGCAGGTTATGAAGATGTCCCATCTTTTCTTAACCAGTGGAAGCTTAAAAAAGTCCTATATTATAAAAAGTCCTTAAAAAAGTCCTATAAAGTCATATCACGCTGAGTTATAGAGTAAAGCGGTGCATGCAGCGATAGCGCTAGATTTTTTAATAATATCTAGAATACTTTTAGTGAAAACTCTTGTGTCAGAAAGATGTCCCATTTTTTGCTGACAGGTTATGAAGATGTCCCATCTTTTCTTAACCAGTGGAAGCTTAAAAGGAGTCTTATATCATTCTTACATCACGCTAAGTTAGGGTAAGACGGTGCAGCTAGTGCAATAGTTTTTGGAATAATATCAAGAATATTTTTAGTGAAAACTCTTGTGTCAGAAAGATGTCCCATCTTTTGCTGACAGGTTATGAAGATGCCCCATCTTTTCTTAACCAGTGAAAGCTTAAAAGGAGTCTTATATTATTCTTTACATCACGCTAAGTTAGGGTATAAGGCGGTGCAGCTAGTGCAATAGTTTTTGGAATAATATCTAGAATACTTTTAGTGAAAACTCTTGTGTCAGAAAGATGTCCCATTTTTTGCTGACAGGTTATGAAGATGTCCCATCTTTTCTTAACCAGTGGAAGCTTAAAAGGAGTCTTATATTATTCTTTACATCACGCTAAGTTAGAGTAAGGCGGTGCAGCTTGCGCTATAGGTTTTGGAATAATATCTAGAATACTTTTAGTGAAAACTCTTGTGTCAGAAAGATGTCGCATCTTTTGCTGACAGGTTATGAAGATGTCCCATCTTTTCTTAACCAGCGGAAGCTT